CAAATGGTTAGCAAGAGAGTTAGTTGAGAATTCATCGCGGGGAATGGGACTTAGGCCTATTAAATAAGAGTTACCACAACGGCAACCCAACCTAGTTGACTGGAGATCCCAAGATCTAGGTTCAAAGGGACAACCGAGTTGTGATTGACTCAGAAGGATCATTGGGGAGTCTAACTCCTACCCATTTCTATGATGAAATAGTGATGTCTGCAGCGTTTTTAGGTTAAGTAAAATTTTTAATGATTCTTATATCTAGGTAACCCCAATGGAGTATGGCAGGATATTCTTCATAAGCATCACCTATGTGAGTGTGAACTAGGTCGGTTCTGTGAGATTTGTGAAGAGCTACAATTCTCTAGAGCACTCATGAAAGACCAAGTTGTTCAGGGCCAAAATGAACACAATAGTGAGAACTAAACTGTGTCTGGGGATATACTGTGTGAGTTCTATTGTCTTGGTTTACATAAACAGCTGAACAGTTCAAGACATCATGTTCACTGGTTAGCTAGTAAATCCGATAGTGTCTCACAAGGGAAGGTTCAAAGCCAAAAGCTACATATCCTTTGCAGAATATTACCAATTTCTGTACTCTCTGTAATTAGATCATGTTGTTGCATTTTCTCTCCGTCAAATTCCATTCATGTGGGGGATTGTTGGAAAAATGGTTTAATATAGGCATATTTTGTTAGCCCAATTTTGAGTGGGCCCCAAACGTCTTAGGGTGGGTCCGAAGAGGTGAAGTGTTCCTTACCGCGTAGCAAGTCACACGGTGAAGACGGAACGTCAAAACCATTTATGAGTGAATGGAAAGTTGACGTCGTTTTTTAGTCTAACATTAATTTTTTAGATAAAATTCTTTTGAATTTTTTCAATAAAAATTATTGTGGGAATTTAATTTAAATTCTAAATTCAAATTTTGAGTTCCTGAGTGGTTTCCTAAAATGTGTACCTCTTTATTTATTTATTTATTAAACTATTCAAATAGTTTAATATATATATATATATATTCAAATACTTTAATATATGTATATATATATATTTTATTCAAAATGGTTTGTATATATGTCAACAGTTTTTCAACAGCTACTTTCAAATTGTTTGGAAGGAAAGCCGTTCCTGTACAAATGGGCAGAATCTGTTGAACCGTTTGCATATTTGTGTGTTTTCAAAATAGCACCTGTTGAATTTAAAAACACACCTATTCAATTTTTGGGTCAGATAATTTGCCTATATATAGTCATGTTCAAGCAGTCTTGAAAAAGAGAGATCAGTCTAAGAAAATTTCTTTTATTGTCCAGATTTCTTTTGGTGCATTATTCTTCATTTATATTTTTAGGAAAAAATATTCAGAGAGTTAGAACACAGGTTTGGTTCGCCAAACAAATTATTTGGAGTACTACTACAATTTGTGAAGATCATTGTATCCTGGGAGATAGTCGCCACTCAACCGTAAGTACCATAGCGGGCGAATCTGTCTTAAGGACAGAGTGTCACACACTCGACTTGGTCTTAAGTTATTTATTCGGTTCAACGAAATAAATTCGGTATGTTATTTATTTATTTTGTTTGATTTATTTCAAGTTTTTTTATATACACAGAAGATTGTTCCAACAAAGTGTTTCTTGCCGTGTGGCAAGTCACACGGTGAAGACGGTTCGTCAAAACCATTTATGAGTGAATGAGAAGTTGACGTCGTTTTCGGGTCTAACATTAATTTTTTAGATAAAATTCTTTTGAATTTTTTCAATAAAAATTATTGTGAGAATTTAATTTAAGGAACACAATCATTTCTGTACAAGGACTGGGAACCATAACACAATACACTACATGCTTTAAAATATGGTACAATAGATAAATCTGTTTGGTTGCTACCTCCTTGAACAAGACTGAAGATCTGCAAACCGTTGCCACTCCCCCCTTCTTCCTTTCCTCATGTGCGACTCTCTCTCTCTCTCTCTCGTGGGGTTGAAGAGCGAGAAGAAAGAATGATGATGACCGGATTACACACTGTTGCTGATGTTTTTTGCATTGGGTGGGATCAATTTTGGGATGGAAATACGTAAGAGCATGAGGCAGAGTTCTTGAGATTATGGTTTACACGTGTTTAGTTGACTGTGGTGCTTAATTAATTTAGGTTTTTATTTTCAGGAGACTGCCCATGAAAAGAGCCAAAAGTACAAGGAACGAAAATCTGTCATCATGAGGCAGAGTTCTTTTGAACTTTTCAACAAATGGTTGGTTGGGCCCATATAAGATAATTATGGCATTTTCTCATAATGATGCTTGTCCTTCAGCTTTTCAACATTTCTCTTAACCTTATTTGCCCATCCACACCGTGTTATCTGATTGTTAAATAAGTATTTTATTTATTTATTATTATTATTATTATTTTTAAAACTCTGTTTGTGCTTGTGTGCATGTTTGTGTGGCTCAGGAAAAAAATTGCAGAAAGGGAAGGTTTTCCCCTTCTAAACTGAAAGGAAAACGTGTTATTGAACTTGGGGCAGGATGTGGAGTGGCTGGTTTTGGTGAGTGTCTTCTGTTTTTGCATAATTTCTGATATGAATGTTATGTAGGGATGGCTCTAGTTTACTGTGATCTATTGCGAGGGGAATAGCTTAGTGTTTAGTGGTGTGGTTTTCAGGCATGGCATTGCTAGGATGCGACGTAGTCTCCACAGACCAAACTGAGGTTTTGCCATTGCTAATGAGAAATTGTGAGCGTAATGCATCAAGGATCATGCAAATGAATCCTGGTTCAGGTGTGCTTACAAGTTTCTGGTCTTTCCTTTTTCCTTACTTCTCTCTGAATTCAATTTCTTATCTAAATGACCATCATATATAATTGGTGTTCAACTGATATCGGCAAAGTTGTCAAATGTCATTGCTTTCTTACCTACTGTGGTAAAAAAAATTTACCGTTCTCTTACGTGAACTGTTCTCCAGCTACAAGTACCTTTTTGCTTCTTAATCTTTTTATCTGTTTCAAAACCATTTAACAGCTGAACTCATTTGTTTAGCCAAATTTTCATGTAGTTGGGGTACGAGATTCGTTCTACAAATTTGTTTAGCCAAATTATCTGTTTCAAAACCATTTAACAGCTGAACTCATTTGTTTAACAGCGAAGTCTATAAATTGAATAGAATGTTTTGTGGGACATAATAGATACTAATATAAGTTGCAACATGAAAAGAGATAAAATAAAGTACGTTTAGAACCTGTACGTAACACATTTGTTATAATTTCTTCTAAAAAGCTCTTCCATGCCTTTGCTTTATGGAGAAATCTACACAACTTTGATATTGTGCATTAGAGTAGATTTTTTGTTATGCCATGTTTCATTTCAGATTGGCTTGTGTTATTCTTTGCCTGACTAGAACTGAAGGCTTCTACGTTATTCTACATGGAAAAAATAAATAAAAAAAAAACGAAAGAAAAACAAAATGGTATTTTAGTCTCAAATACTAGAAGATGCTTAGTTAATTTTTTTTACCATCCGTAAACGTCTTCAAATTCACGAAGTTAATCTTAATGTTTTAAATATAGTTATTTTAAAATTCAAATTATTTTTTTATATTCTAATAACTTTTATAAGTGACATAGTTATTAAAATATTCCTAATAATAATATGGCGAAACGCGTATTAATATTCACATTGATTGTGTGAATGTTTTGTGATGTGCACATTCATACAGCCAATGTAAATATTCACACGTCAATATAGACATTCATACTGTCAAATATGAATTTTCATATTACTAAAATATGAATGTTCAAATATGAATGTTCACTTATTCAAAAAATATTTGTAAAGGTAAAATTGTCTATAAAATATCTTAAATATGAGGATTAGGATCTGATGGATCAAATGTCCAAATAATAAGATATATTAGAATACAAAAATATGTTATGGACTAAGTGAGATACAAGTAATTGAAAGATGATTTTCTAATAAATTTGCCTTAATTTTAAAGTGAAAAGATTCACAAAATAATAACTAAATAAATAAATAAATAAAATTAATATTAAAGGTTCAATTGCGACAATTATAGTGGTCTAACAAATCTTAGCGAGGGTTACTAGTCCAATTAAACTTTTAATTTTGAAAGATAAGTTTTTTAAAGGAGTTTTGAAAATTGAAACTTGTTTGATTATGAGTTTTCAAACTAATTTTTGAGTTATATATTTTGAAAATAGTTTTTAGAAATTTAAAAATTCGAAACTTGTTTGATTATGAATTTTCAAAACTAAGAGTTTTTTTTGGGTCTTGTATTTTTATTTTTATTTTTTTTGAGTTAACAATTCTTTTCTAATTTATATCCACTTAATCTATATGCGGCGTTTTTAAAAACGCCGCCTATAGTCATATAACGACGTTTTTTTAAACGTCATAAAGCTATAGCGACGGCCGCAGCATCGGCGTTTGACATTAAACGTCACAAAAAGAATTAACGACGTTTGTTGTACCTATAGCGGCGTTTTGTAAACGCCGCTAAAAGCAGATTTTCCAGCAGTGCCAGTTTAAACATTTGTACAATTTTAATGTTGTATGTATTTATTAAATTTGTTTTTCATTTTTTTTCACATTTCATTTACTGTTTTAAGTATATGTAGATCATATATATCTGTTTTTTTTTTTTCTTTTTTTTTTTTTTTTTATAACCATGAAATTTTTAGAACCATGAAATAGATATTTATATATATTGAAATTATAACAAAGAGTTTACAGATTTCGCCAATCTATGAGCTGGCTGAACAACCTATCTCTATCCAATTTAGATGTACTTACAAAAACAAAAGATTGACTTAAAAGATAAATATCTTGAACTAGTAAGTCCACTTCCCAATCCAGACCACATTTCCGATCCAAACTAGTCAACAAAACCTTACAATCCACGAAAATAGATGGACACTCTATTTTCATCTTCACGGCCCATTTAGTAGCTTCCAGTAATGCCCTTGCTTCCAACTTTGCCATGACCCGTCTACTACACAAGTAAACATATGAAAAACAGAATATGATGTGAGATTATTAACAAGTAGACAAGAATTATATAACATAGAATTTTCAACCATTTTCTTATTGCCTTCAGGCACATTATTCTTTGCATGCATCACTTTGTTGTTGGTTCATTGTCTATGAATATCATTTGCCAATCCTAAAGTTTGCTTTGTGGACATTTCTCCACTTTGAAAGACGACGCTATTTCGTTGCCGCTATATAGCCCACAGAATAGCTATCGAACGGACAATTATGTCTTCCTCTTTCACACTCTTGACCCATTCAGACCACCATGTTTTAAAACAAACTTGCCTACCATAAGTAAAATCCAACCCCAATATTGTACCTCTATACACTCTTTGTGACACAGGACACTGAAAGAAGAGATGTTCTAAAGTTTCTTCAGCTTTTCCACACCTCTCACACTGCACATCCAGATTGTTAGATTTTTTTAATTGGCAATCTCATTAGACAAACTCTTTTCAATTGCAATATTATTCGCTCTTTTGTTTTAGTAAGGATATGAGTGTAGAGTGCCTAAACTTTTGAGAAGAAAGTTTTATCGCTTGAATGGTGAATGTTGCGCTCAAGCGGCCAACCTATATGTTTTGCACTGCCTGTACTTATATCGCTCCAACGGTCACACTACACGAGCGGAAAAGTGTGCGTTCGGGTGGTCTTTGCGATCCAGGTTACTATATATTAACTGCATTGTTTGCTCATTTTAGGGTTTGAGACTCCTAAATTTTCAGAGACAGAGAAAAAATAAAGTGTTTTATATTGGAGGGTGCTTTATGAATGCTTTCTTGATGATTTAAAAGTGATCAGTAGATTCATGAACTTTATATCAACATTATCAAGAGGTTTGTTGGTTTTCTTTTATTTACAAAAGAGATAGTTGTTCTTCAGTGGATTTCGAGAAACTTGAGCCTGAAGTTTTGGTAGATTCCGGAGTGGCTCATCGTCTTGGATTCGACATTAGGGTTGTGGATTCAACGTTGGATAAGACAATTCCGAGGTGAGGACAATGGTGAAAGAGGCACATCGGGGTAGGTTCAATTCGGACGTGAATTTGTTAGGTAATTGAAGGTACACGTGTAATTCCTTTTTGTATTCTTAGTGGATTGTTTTGCAGTTTTGGCCTATGATTTTTTATTTTTATTATTTTTTTAAATCATAATTGGAGACGCTCCAATTGTGATTTTTTCACATTAAATCGGTGTATTGATTTGTCTTTCACTGTTTAATCGGGATTATTATTCGTTGTTCAAAATTGAAATATGATGTATATTAAGAATTTTAGATTTTTCACAGATGTATACCTCTTCTATTTAGTTGCCATCACACTGGAACAATGTTGTGAAGGCATTTCCAATAAATAAAGCCCATTTAGATGGAATTCAGTTTCGGAGTCCTAAAAGCGCCCTTGGCTATTGCTTTATGGCCACCAAATACACCTATTTAACAGAGTACATACAATCCTTTATTTTACTCCATACTATCTTACCAAGACAAGGGGCTAAGGGAAGATGAATACCTAGAATTAATGAACAACCATCTAATCAGATCTTGTTTCCAACAATTATTCTGATGATCAATTAAATGAACGACCCACATATTTGCCTCGTTCATGATTTTTTCATGTTTCTGCGGAATTTTCTTTTATTCAAAGTTGAATATCTTTATCTCAAAAAAAATGAACGACCCACATATTTGAAAAGAAGTTTGACATCCCCAGACCCCTCACTGGATTGATTCCCCTGGAATCCAAGAATCCTCAGAAGGATTAATTGATTGCCCATCCCCAACCCTCCACACTATCCCTTCCTTTAATAGTTCCCTACCCCATAGAATGCTTTTCCAGCCCCATGAAGCTATCATTGCTTGACCAACTTCCAAAAAACTTTTATTTAAACTATATTTACTTAATAACACTTGGTCTTGTTAACATGTGCCATAACAACACATGTTAAGAAAGTAATAAATGAATTTCAACTTCTTACACTTGCAGGGAGAATGTAAGGGTACAATCAAAATTAATTATGATGTTTTTGAAGAGTTAATTTTTTATTCATATGGACTTAACTACACTTTGTTTTTGTCAGACAAAAATTCTTTAACTAATATGTACGTGTAATTAAAAAAATAAAAAATATTCTATTTTTTTTTTAATATTTTTTTTAAATGGTTCTAATATGGTGAGAACCCAACTAACATTTATGAATGTACTATTGAAAAAACTTTAGTTACAAAATATTTTTATTTGATTGAATTGATTGAATTTTAAGAATTTGTATTTAAAAAAGTTTAATTTTTTTTGACAAAACTAAATATAAATATATGTTTGAATTTTTAAATATTATTTTATGTTCCAAAACAAATCATATGAAAATGAGTGTTTGATTTTAAAAAAAATTATTTTTCACCAAACTAAATTTCAATTTTTTTAGAAAAAAAACATATTAAAAAATTCAATAAAAAATAAAGAAGGAAAATGGTGCAAAGCAAAAAGGGTATTTTGGCCTCATTATAAATATAAAACATCTTAATGTTGTGTTGTTTTCTATACAAATAGGAGTAAATGTACTCATTTAATGTTTTTTTAACATCTGCCCTTAGGGCACATATTAATTGTGATGTCCTGGATCTTTGACCTAACCTGAACGTGTCTTTCGAACTTACAGTCTTTCTTTTTTAGAACCTTAAAGGGGTTGTGTTGTGCCAACGTTTAGGAATTTAAACTTGTTTAATCTTCTTAACGTAAGACTGAGTTAAAAATTTTGAGTTTCTAGCGT